AGAAGAAGACCCAGCTCTTCATGTTTAAGAGGGATAGTTGCTCCTTGGAGACACACACTTCCTTTGATTTTTAGGGACCTGACAGTGTCCCACGGAGGCATTAGACAATGCTTTCATTTACTAAGCTAGAGAATTGTTAAGAGCTTGACCAAGGTTGTTTGTGGTTTTTTAGTCTTTTTAAAAAATATATATAATTTTTAAAATTTTTATTATTTTTGTGTCTGTACCATCAAATCAGATCTGACCAGTAGAGGAGGACATTGTCTCTCCTCCAGCAGAGGATCTGGTGGATTTGAACCACAAACCTCTGGTATTGCAGTGCAGCTTCCTGCCACTAGGCCACCAGAGTTCCCTTTGACCAAGTTTTTGGTACATGATGCTTGTACGTTTTATACCTCTTCAGACAGACAGCATAAAAACGTTAGGTAGAGTCAGAATTTTTCAATTTGATTGATCTAAGGTGAATACTCTTTATAACCTGTTTTGGTTGTTTATAGACATTAGAGTTTGGCTCAACACCTGACAGGGTATTTTGTTTAGCCTTCTCTCAAGTGTCCCTGCCCGAAAGGATGAGATGAAAAGACTGTGTATCTCACCTGCTTTTCCTCTTCTCTCCTGTGCAGTGAGACGGACTCTAGGTTTTAGCTACTACCGGTGACTGGCAATTCAAAAGCCACTGGCTTGGTTCGGGCCCTAAGTACCTGAATATTTATATTATCTTTCTTAATCATACCTGGTCTTTGGGCATTTTGGGACCTCCTGCCTACTTCTATTAGGTGATCAGCTTTCCTTTATCTTTGCCCGTAATAAGCAGGCACTCTGTATATTCTCTTTTTTGTAAATGCATGTCCTATTAACTCATAATTACTTGACCTCTTGTTTGTTGAAGCAATAGGTCAGACAGCACCTGCCACAGTAATGTCTGTCAGAGCAAAAATAGGGAACGCTTTATGAAATTGCGTATCATCCTTGTTCAGGGGCCATGCTAATCATGTGTGTCGTTCCAATATTCTGTACGTCCTGTTGAAGCCAGTAGTATATTCCCATTTTAAGGTATGGAATTGTTTAGGCCAATGTGTATGGATGTCATCCAATTGCTTTGCCTTCTGTCAAAATAATGTTACTTCCTGAAGAATTTAAGGATCCATACAAACCCTACTTTTTCTTTTCACTGAAATCAAAAGGAAATAAAGGCTAAATTTTCTGACACTATAACTTACTCTTTTGGCTAAGCTTAATCTCAGCAAACAGGCTAATCCTTCAGAATTTTCTCTTAACAGATTTTTTCTCCAGCATGGAAACTTTTGTTTTGACTTTTCAGTGATGATCTAAAGTGAAATGAACCCAATAAAAGTGTTATTAGATATGTGAATATGTACGATATGCTTAGATGTGAAAACAGGTGTAATAGAGTCATCAGATACAACTTTTACTCCACAGATAGAATACAGCATCTACTCATCAGATACCCTACAAAGTCTACTCATTACATACAATGTAACTTGTGTTCATCAGATACAATTTCTACTGACCAGATACAATGTAACTTCTACTCAACACATAGAACTTAGAGACACAACACAACTTGTACTTATACAGGTAGGTCATATACAGGCAAGCACCAAGGCCCCAAGGAGAATGGGGAGAGAGCTTCTGCTTCCATTCCTGTCAGTATCTAAAGTATGACAGAAATCAGAACAGACACAATTGGTCAACAGGCATTTAGTCAGAAAACAGATACTTTAGTGCAAGCAGCAGAGACAGAATTCTTGCCCTCACTCTTAGAGATTTGGAATCAACAACTCACACCAATGAACCCCTAGAGATTTGGAAGGCAGAATTGATGGCAGACTCACCCCCAGACAGCTAGCTTGGAGGCTCACTCATGCCGTGCCCAGAGATTTGTACCAAGAAGACAGTTCCCAAATAAACTGCATGGATTCCAAAGGCAGTGGAGGCTGTCAGGAGTTGGTCCCTCCAAGGTCTCTTGAGACAACAGATGTCATGGATGCATTTAGTCATTTGACCTATCCAATAGCTTCTTCCCTGAAGGTGAAAAGCTTTTAATACTAGCAGTAGTTGCCTTACTAATATAGAGTGTTGGTCCAAATCAGAATGGATAGCAGAATGAAATGGCTTGAGATTCTCTTGAAGAGTCCAGAGTCATCCATGCTGTGTTGCTGCAACTTTCAAGAAGGGAGAAGCGATTTATGTTATCACCTGGAAGGTCAGTTGAAATTTTTTTAATTCTTATTTACATAGTCCTGTTTTCTTTTGTTAATAATGAGATGATAGAACCACCTTATAATTCACTTATTACTCACCTTGCAAAAATGATTTTATAGCTTGGTTAGGAAAACCTTCCGATGGTGTGAACGCTTTGAAATAGCCAGTTTCTTATGTACATGTCACCGTTCACAGTTTACGTCCTGGCTGTATTTTGAACCCTTTTTTCTGTTTTAACAAGGTTTCATTTCACGTGACACCCTTTTTACCTTTTTTCCAATCGACCCAGTTGTATGTAGTCTTGGGGTGCAACCATATTTATTACAGGTTTTCAGGATTTTCTGTCATATTAGTGGATAATACTCAAGCATGCATTAACCCCAGAATCCACCTCCCTCCTGATTGACTGAACATGACTTCCTCTCGGTTGTCTCTTTCAGGTCTCAAGTGTGATTCACAGACAACTAGTCAAGACAGCCAGAGCCCCATCACGAGGGACCCTCAGCCGCTGTGAAGAGAGTGTGGAGCAAACATCATCCATCCGCTTCCACATTACCTTGTGTTCTTTGCCCACCTGAAATACTCCTCCTGATGTGATATCTTGAGAGTAGCAAAGACATTCCCTTAGCACTGCAGAAAGGATAACAAGAAATGGTGAGTCCTAGAGAAAAGGTCTTTTCCACCTTAAGTTCATGGTATGGGATAGAAACTCTTGTGGGACCCGTTATGTTCTGTCGGCCTGCAGTTTCCCCATAAGTAGAAAAGGTGACAAGAGGAGGCTTCTAGAATAATGCTAGAAGGCCCCGTAATTGCTTCCTCCCTTAATACTTGGCCATTTCCCTGTCCATGCTCTTTCATGATGGGGATGCCTAGGGTCACTTTCCTGATGTGCTCTCAGACCTGGCCGCGTGATCTGCTCTCTCCCACCTGCACCTTGTTTCTCCTAGTTTAATGACACAGTCTCCTGCTCAGAACTCCAAGGTGGTCCAGCACAACGCTGTCTGTGATCTTCACATCCTGTGTGTGGTGTTGGACTTTCTTTATTGTGTTTTCCCCAGTGAAGTGATTTAAGTATCGTGTTCAGGCCTTTAGGTGTGGGGAATGAATGGACTCCTATTTCCTCACCCTTTTCTTCCTAGACGTGCCTCGAGTTGGTGTTTCATCTGTGTAATTTTTGTCCGTTGCTTGCACCCTGCAATTGAATGTCTGCAGGAATCGTTTGTAAGCAGTGGTCCTCCTAAACCAAAGCAGGGTCTTTTCTGATCATTGACATCTCCGAGATGTTCAGTGAGAGAATGATGGACATTTTTCTGCTAGTGTGCCTTACAACCTCAGAAAACCTACTGTACTGTTAGTTTACTTCCTGTGGGTGGCAGTAAGTTAATGAGTGTTGCCTTCTCGCATTACAGATGAAAATTAAAATTAATTTTTCCTGGAAATGCCAATATCTAAAATATGGAAATTTAAGACCTTGGGGTATAGTTTTCACTCAAATCCATTTTCTAAATTTTTTAGTATATTTCTTTTGAGATTCATTCCCCCCCCCCGTCTCCCTCAATATCTTGTTCCATTTTGTATCATTTCCAGTTTTGTCCCTGAAGTAATTTTGACACCACCTTCCTTACTGTTCTTCCACTGACGCTCACAGCATGATGGGTATTTCAGGTGCAATGGTAATTTCATGGGTTTTTTTTCCCTCCATTTACCGGGAATATCAGTGTTTTTTGATCAGTGGTACTTAAGATACTAAGGAGTTACACAGATAATTAAAAAATTAGCCCTGTGCTGCTTCTGCTGCTCACCATTGTCCCTGAAATCCTGTGTGAATCAGGGTTATAAGGAGATAGGGGAAGGAGAGAGAAACCACAGTCTTTATTAATCACCTAAATCATCATGGACATATCAAGTGCTGTGGTGATTTCCTTGGTAACCTTTTTTAGCCATTGGTGCCCAAAAGCAGTGTTTTGGAGCACTGATGGTTCGGAGAAAAAGGAGTGAGTTAACACAAGTAATTCCAAAGCTAACCCTCTGGGTGGTGATTTCCATCGGTGTCAGGAAAATTAAGATTGAGTAGGAATCTTCAGGGACTGAAGGGAAGGAAGGAGAGACCCTATCTCTAATGTTTATATAACCTGTTGTTGCCACATTCTGTTTTCTTTTCAGTAGTGTCTTTGACTGAGGTTGAGCAGATGTGGAATAGGAGTGCTCCAGAATGAAAACAAGACTCCTGCTTGCTCTTGTCAGTTGTGAAAGAAACTAACTGGGTTGCCTCTGGGGTGTTGTGTATAACTCTTTCCAGGTTATGCTCACGGAGTTCATAATTTGGAGCAAGCCCTGGGTTTTTCAAGCATCTGCTCTTGAGCTCAGGCTGATTGTATTCGCAAACAATCTTTAGCCTGTTCCTGTGTGTTTGTACAGAGTCAGAGCTGTGGATTCCAAACTGCCGTATAGCGGACCCTCCAGCTGGCTTTCAGAGACAGAAAATCACAAGGGAAGAGATGAGTCATCTTTCTCCTGTGAATCAAGTGCTGGATTGATAACATCTGACTTTGTGTCAGCACCGTAACTCTCTTACGACACCACAGAGTTCCCTAAGTTTTATGCTGCTGTCGTGAGGTGCTGTCGAGTCGAGCACAACTCATAACAGACGTATGAACAAAAGATTCAAATCCTGTCATGCCTAAGGAGACATGCAAGAACACATACAGATGGGAAACCTTATGCATGTCTCCAGTGTGGGAAAACCTTTGATCAGCTTGCTCTTTTAACTCACCATGCCAAAATTCACTCAGGAGAGAGACCTGTTCAATGTATGGAAGGTGAGAAGACCTTCAGATCACCTCCATAAACAAAGAGGAATTCACACAAGACAATATGAATGTAAGGAATGTGGGAAAGGATTTTCAAAATCCAACCACCTCATTAGGCATAGAAGAATTCACGGAAGACAGAGACCTTATAAATGCGAGGGATGTTTGAAGACCTTTTGTCACTTGTCTCATCTTAGAAGACACAAGAACACACACAGGAGAGAAGCCTCACGAATGTAAAGAATGTGGGAAACCATTCCCACGGTTAGCTGATTTCAAGGAACACAGAAAAATTCACACAGGAGAGAGACCTTATAAATGTACAGAATGTGGGGAAACATTTTCTCAGTCAGGTGGCCTCACTTCACGTAGAACAGTTCACACGGGAGAGACCTTATGAATGTCAGGAATGTGGGAAAACATTAACCCGGTCATGTCGGCTCATGTTCCATAGAAGAATTCACACTGGAGAGAGACCTTACGAATGTCAGGAATGTGGGAAAGCTTTTACAGATTCAGGTTCCCTAACTGTACATAGAAGAGTCCACACAGGAGAGAGACCTCACAAATGTCAGGACTGTGGGAAAGCATTTTCATGATCAGGTCTCCTCACTGTACGTAGAAGAATCCACACGGGAGAGAGACCTTTCGAATGTCAAAAGACTGGGAAAACATTTCCCCGATCATATACGCTCACTCAACACAAAAGACTTCACACAGGAGAGAGACCTTATGAATGTCTGGAATGTGCGAAAACATTTTCACATTCAGGTCAAGTCACCAACCATAGAAGAGTCCACAAAGGAGAGAAACATTTCTTTTTTTTTTTTTTTTTTTTTGTTTTTTTTTTTTTTTTTTTTTGGAAAGAAACATTTTGAATGTGAGGAATGTGGAAAAACGTTTTCACAATCAAGTCCCCTCACGTCACA